ATAAGAATGTTATTGATCCAAATACTGATAACTTTTCTTCAGATTAGCTCAAGTGAAAAAAAAACTATAATACTATTAAAGATATTTCAGATAATGCTTACTATTCTCTTATGAATTTACCTTTCATTAACAAATGGAATAATTTGATCAAATATCTACCTAACCACAAAGCTTCAGGACTATCAAAAATTACCAATGAGCTTTTAAAGAAGCTGGGTCCCAAATGCAAAAACTTCTTATACAACATTATTTATGCATATTTAATTAACAAGTTTATCCCAACACAGTAGAATTTAGCTTATATATATTTCATACCGAAACCCAAACTATGGAATTGACAATTTAACAATACTAAGCCTATTATATTACTTAAAATAGTTTGAAAAGCATTTGTAAAATTGATGAATCAGCGGTTACAAATTATATTTGTTAAATACAGAGTTATTAAAGGACTCAACTTTGTTGGTTTACTATATCAATCAACATTAGAACTCCTGCACATTGTCAATAATATTCTAGAATTTTACCATCTCAAAAAGAAAATGCCTGAGTACTAAAATCTGACCTTTATATACTCTTTCAGGATATATCTAAAGCATACGATCAAGTTAATATTTTCATATTAAAAAAGGCACTACACAGATTAAAAATTCCAGCTTCTTTTATTATACTGGTTTTCAACTTATTTCTTAATAGAAAGAATAATGTTTTTACCACATATAGTAATACAGATTTTTATGATGTCCTCATTGAAATTGATTAAGAAGAGGTTATCTCTTCACTTTTATGGGTAATATACTATAATCCTCTTCTCTCTCAAATGCAACAGTCCAATCTGGGTTATACATTAGATGTTTTATAGTTACTAAACATTAATAACATAGAAATGAAATCGATCTTGACCTCAATTCCTAATTCAGTATATATGGATGATACTATTTGAATTACTGATAGCTGCGTAAACCTTTAGGAAATTTTTGATATTGCATAATCCTTTTTCAATCTGAATTCAATACAAGTCAACCTAGAGAAATCTTTTATAATTATATCTGAAGCAACAATCGGTGATATTAAAGATGGTCACCGCAATTAAAAAAATGATGCAATTGAGTTGCAACTTGTGGCACAATTAAATTTCCTTATGGTGCAATTAAGTTGCAATTTGAAAATAATTATAGAAACCATTTTTAGGTAATATCTCATTTCACAGTAAACATCTGAACGGTTCTGTAACAATATTGACTAAAAAATCTAATGAATCAACTAGATATTTAAGTATCTGAATTTCAGTCCTTTATAACAAAAAATTTGTCAAACAACAATTAGAAAACGAAATCACTGATTTTATTTTAAAACTCAAAACTAAGCTATGACAGATAAACAACTCAAATATCTCTGTAATCAAGTACTTATTCCTCAACTTGAATACCAATCTCAACTAATTGTTTTTTTCACAAAAAGAATGCTTTGCCCTTTCTCACATATCCATACATTCATAAAGCATAAATTCAAATTTAACAAATGCATTCCTAATAACACAATTCTTAACAAATTATCTTTTGGATTTAATGATTTAGCCTCTAATATATTACATTTTAAATTACAATACTTTAATTTAATCATCAATGGTGATGCTTTAAGATTACCACTTACCTTAACAACTAAAATTCGTCTAAAACAACTCTAAAATTTCTTCTGGTTATCAGATGATCCTATAGCAAGTTGGTCCTTTCAGCTCAAAAATCTAAGACATGATAATTATCTATGTAATATGCTTACGCTCTATCTTCAGATACCCTTTTCAATGTAAAAGACTATTTCATCTGCTTTAGACTTTCACATCTAAGGAGGTATTACCACTCTTAATTCTATCATTCTATGGAAGAAAAAATGGATCCCATCACTCAAAAGATGCAGAGTCTTATTTCTTGATCAATTTGTTACTGAAGGAAATTTTTTGATAGAATATTATAATCTCTCCTTTAAAGCTAGTACTCTAAATACAGGAGCTATTCTTAGATGGTTCCTTACTTTACAAAAAAATATCCTTCAGAATCCTGTATATTCAAACTGTCTAAAACCTGAATTTTATCTTGATAATTTTACTTCACAGGACTACATTACTACTTCTACTGCTGATAATGAGAAAAGATTACCATAAATAGCCCTTTAGACACTACCAGAATAAAATTATTATAATCTGCTATATTCTGGTTAAGGCATTATTGGAAAAGCTATAAGATCATGTTTTATTTCTAATAAGATAATCATTCAATATTACGTTAATAATATAATGATCCTAGATTAGTCTTGAAGAAACAGAACCTATTCACTTCCTGTTTAGGCTATTCTTTTAATTCACCAGAACCTATTCTTAACTTTAACACAGTAGTTACTGCTTGGCCTTGTGATAACATTATTGATAATGACCTCCCTCAAATTATAGACGTCACATATTTCACTTCTATTAATGACAAAAAACTATATCTTCTTAAACAAAATATCTGGTCTATTATAGATTAAGCAAAACAGCACTATTTAACAATCTACCCTCCCATTATTATTTTAAATAATCTCATTGTCAATACTCCACTATTTGTTAGCATTCCTAATATAATTTCAATTGAAAGAATCAAAACATTCTTACTGGAATTTTCACCATATTTTGCAAAATGAAAGGTCACTTACTTTTTATACAAATGGATCTCACAAATTTGTTCCTTTACTGCCTACATCATATTTAAGTTTAGCATTTTGTTTGATACATAAAAATTTAAACATAGAGTTTTCCACAGCTGTTCCTGCCATTTGGACTAATGCAACTAATGCTGAGATATTTGCTCTCCTTTTAGTTCTATTAATTAGTCCTTTATCCTTCTCAATCTCTATATACACAGATAGCTTAGCCCTTATTCATATATATAATTACATAAAAAGAACTAATATAACTAGATACCCTTACTCCTGTTCAAAATTCCTTTTTATATTTTTTGGTTAATTATTTTTAAAATTATAGAAGAACAACAAATCACTATTTTCCTTTTAAAAGTAGCTGCCTACTCTAATGATTTATATAATGATAAGGCTGACAAATTGACAAATTCATCCCTTCTTTCTCCTCCCCTAAATTTATCATTAGACTATATTCCTTCCATTAATTATATACTTATATTTAATAATATGCCTATACATCATCCTTTACGCTTATTTTTAAAAAATTACACTAACTCCAGACATTTTTCTGATTATTACCATCTCAAAAGAAACACTAAATATCAATACTTGCAAGTAAATTGGATTTTGACTTTCCAAATTATTCAAAATGGAAGCGTCTTCCACTTCTTTTAATGAAACAAGAAGCTATTGCAGAAACTTAAATTCCTTCTTGAATAAGTACCAATGGTTCAGTTTATAAAAGTCACTCAATCTCAACTATATTTATCATCCTGGAAATACTACCGTTGTAATAATCATAATGAAGACTTTAACCATATATGGCTATACTCTAATATCAGACAATACATTCAATTTTTAATCGCTGAATTCATTGCTCATTTAAAATTACAATTATTTATCTACACTTCAAAAACTGAGTTTACAAATGAAATTAATAATCTTTTAAATTCTTCCTATGCAATATGGTTTATATAAGCCTCTCCACATAAATTCTCCTTCATAGATCTTATTAAAGGCATTATTCCTACCATTTTATCATCAACCTTAATAATATTTACCAAATCTCCTTCTCTCACTCTGTCTATCCTCTTCTTACTCTTTGATTTTGTCTTTAGTTAAGCCTATAATAATATATGGAAAACTAGATGTACTTTAACTTTAGATAAAGAAAGATCTCTACACATAATAAAACGACAAAAGAAAGGCAACTTTACCTTATCTAATATTAACTTTTCTATCAATAGTTTCTTTAACACTATATTTACTATTAACACAGATATTCTAAATTATTTTACATTAATTAATAAATCATATAAATATAGTCGACATTGGTTCCTCTTTTTGGATTGGTGATAATCAGTTACTCTAATGATTCCTCTTCAGTTTGGTATTGATGATTATTTAATAAATCTTTTCAATCAGAATCAGACAGGACAACCGGTTAGTCTGATAGGAGCTAGTTTCTAGTAATGAATATTAGGCAACAATTTTTATTTTTCTACTTTTATACCCTTTTGAGATTTTCATGTAATTTTTTATTTACATAATAAAATATTGCATTACCACGTCTAAAAAAAAAAAAAAATAATTACAAGAAAATAAAATTTAGTTTGTTGGATTTATTTTCACTAAGACCTATTAAATGATTATATTTTTATATTTCAATAAATAGCAAGATATATAAGTTTAAAATTTTAACTTTTTTTCATAATAATTTATCATATATTTATCTTTAAAATATTACTAATTAATTACATTTTTTTTTGAATTTTTACTTAGAAAACATCATAAAATTTATTATAAAAATATTAATTTTTAAATAAATTATTTTAAAAATATTTAAAAATATTATAAATAATTTTAATTATTAAATAAAATTGCAGGCAAATTTGCTTGAAAAATGCTTGAAAAGATAGTTTAGATATTTACTAAATTTAAAATGAATTTAAATAATCAACTTTAGATAAATTTCATTTTTTATTATTTCAAAATGATACTTATCATTAGATTTAACATAGACTATATAAAAATTTAATGTAAATTGTTTAATTTTAATAATAAAATCAGAAAATCAAAGTATTATAATATAAAAAGATTTTACGAAAGATAGACTTAGACTTTTAATTAAATTCTGGTAGAATTATAAGTTCTATATATATTGATATATTAAAAATACTTTTTATCATTTTATAATAGTTTTAAAAATAATTTATAATATATTTTTTAAGATGATAATACTTTAGTTCATAGAACAAGTACAGTTAATCAATAAAAAAATACTGTAAACAGTTGACTAAAGTATCCTCTATAGTATAATACCTTCTCTATAAATCTGATGTAAAAGATCTGGGTATTATACATAAGGACTTTGGAAAAAAATTGCAAAAATTTGTATAATACCCAAGGGTATTATTATACTAATTATTTTTTATATAGAATTTATATAAATTGTAAAAATGTTAAAATTTATTATAAAACTAAAAAAAAAAAATACATCAAATTAAGCAGATTCATTATCATAGCCTATTTCTTATTCTTCATACTCATCTATATCACTATTATAACTATCTTCTTTATCACTACTTTGATTTCCTTAATCATCATCAATATGAATTATTTGTTCAGTTTTTTTATTTTTTTTATTTTTCAAACTATTATAATCAAATACTAAATTATCTTTACTACCATCTCTAGTAACAGAAATACTACAACATTTAAATGACTTTTTAATCAAATTAATATCAATATCATTCCATGATCTTTTTACCCAACTAGCAATATTAGCATATGAAGGTTTTTTGATTTTTTCAGAAGATATTAATTCACGGACCTTAGAATTCATCTAATCATTATAATATTAACGTAAATTTACTTTAAAACTTTTATTAATAGCTATATCCAGTAGTTGTAATTTACTTGTAAGTCTACCAGAAATAACTGCAATATTAGTTTGCTTTTCATTAAATCTATTTTTAACTGATTCAACAAGGTATTCACAAAAAGAATCCAAAACTAATAAAGATCTTGAATTACCAAGTGAATTTTTTTGAGTCTATACATTCTCAATCTACCAAAGTATTTCTTGTTCATTACACCATTCTTTTTCATTTATGCGTATATGAATTCCTTGAGGAAATGATACTTTTGGAATATTTTTAAGTTTGAAAATACAAACTGCTGGTAATTTTGTACCATCAGCCATATATGCTAAAATAACTATAAAATTTGACTTTTCATGACCTGTTGTTTGTATATTAACAGTTGAAGTGCCACGATGATCCAAAGTAGTTAGATAAGGTAAATCAAATGTAATCAGAGTTTTATCCATATTACTAATGTATTGTAATAGATAGTTATATTGAATGTGTCTATATAAAATAAATACTTAAAAGTTTTATTGCTTTTCCAAAAGATCATCAGGAAGATGTTGAACAATATGAGTTCTTCTTCTTGTAGCAAAATTATACCTTTTCATAAATTCTTCTAACCATGCTTCTGAAAATTTAAATTCTTTAATATTTGCATAAAGGTCTATCCATTTTTTTTCTTTAGCCAATAACTTTGCTTTTCTAACTATCATATTTCACATAACAGCTTTTGCAGATTTACACAGATTAATTACCCATAAAGAAAGCTCTTTTTCAAGTTTTGAAAAAGCCGGATTTTTGCCTTTATATAATTTCTGAATATATGGTGCAACACTTTCAAGTTTAGTTTTTTGATTCATTCAGTCTCGAACTTGTTTTGGTTCTATTTGAAACTGTTTTGCAGTTAAGTGTTTACTTTCACATTGTTTTGCATATTTTATTACAAGTAACTTTTCTCTAGCATACCATTGTCTTCTTTATTTAGTTGTTACTCTTGTTTTTTTATTAGCAGGTCTATTTCGGTGAACAATCATATCAAAAAAAATGAAAAAGTTAAAAAAAATGAAAAAAGGAAAACAAAAAACAAAAGTCAAAACATAAAACTAAAAAAAAAATTTTTAAAACACATTTTACGATATATCATTTTGATTATAAATGATCAGCGGTAGGTTAAATGTTAAATGTTAAAATTATTAAAAGTCAAAAAAATCATTAAAAATTACATTTAAAAAAAGTTTCGCTAAAAAAAATTTTCGTTTATTAAAAACTAAACCACTATCTATAATGCATGCAAATATTTAAACTTTTTATTGGTTAACTTAATTTCAATCATTGACTTTATATGGTATAGCGTAATACCTCCCCTTAGACTAAAGTACTTCCTGTAGTATAGTATCCTTACAATTTCACGAATTTGTAAAATACCTGGATACTTTAGTCAACCGTTTATAGTACTATTATATTAAGTCTTTATAACTTATGTAAAGACTAAATCTTAATTTAATTAAATATCTATAAAATGTTTTAGAAAGTAAAATTCAGATATACAGTGACTCAGAAAAGTAATGCAAACGCTAAACATAAAACTTTAAACTAAAATAACTTTTTATTTATAAATTATATCAAAGTAAAAAAAAGTTATGATATTCTCTGAATCAAAATTTATTAAAAAATATTTTTTTTTCTGATTTAAATCATGTGAAAAAATCTACGTAGCAATTTTAAGTTTTTAACATTGCATTATTTATGTGACTTTTAGTGATCAATATTAACCAGTTAAGTTAACCAAAAACTATAACAAATCCTTGCAATTAATAAGTTTATTTATTAAATTACATCTTATTACCACCTTATATACTCTTTAGCCTTTATTACATCATTTATCCTTTTCAGCATAGATTTATTAAATTTATATATACATTGACTTTAATCCTAAACTAAATATCTTGTAATTTTTCTTACAGATCTTTCCTTCCCGTAACTTATTCTAGAAGGTGTCTTAAATAATGTTTAACTTTATTTTAAAGATGCTTTATAGGATTTAAGTCTGAAGATTATGCAGATCAATTAAGCATAATTACTTTATTATTAGAAAGCCAGTCCTTAGTAAGATTTGCCATATATTTGAAATCATTATTGTATTAAAAAATTACATCATTAACACTTAATCCCTAATCTGAAAAGATTTTATAAGATCTTCTTCAAGTATTTGCTGATAAAGTTTCTCATTTAAGCTACCATTAATTATACAAAGGTTGCTAACACTTTTTGCTAAAAAGCATTCCTAAACCATTATATTATCTTCATCAAATTTTACTGTTAGTTTGACATAAAAACTTCTTAATGGTTCACCTGATTTCATTCAAAAGTACTGACGTTTATCTGAACTAAAAAGCATGAACTTACTTTCGTCAGATTAGATTACCTTTTTCCAATTCTTTATAGACCAATTTTGATATTTTTTTACAAAATTCAAGCAACATTTACAGTGTGCTTTTTTAAGATAAGGCTTCTTCTTCTTAATTCTTGATGCTAAACCATTTTTTTGAAGTGTTCTGCGTATGAATTCAGCCAAAATTTAGATATTATCATAGTTTTTAAGGTCATCTTATATAGCAACTGCTATAGAACATTCATTCATTAGAAATAACAAGTCAGAAAATTTTATGTTCAGTGTGAACAGAAATAACTCAGGAATGACCTGATTTTTTTATTTTTAAAACTATTTGTCTCTTCTTTACGTTGATGAATTCTCATAATTGTAGACTTATAGATATCTTCTTTAGCTACACACTAGTTGAAATAGTCCAAATTAGCCTAAAATCAGATAGCTGATTTTAGGCTGATTTTGATATTATTTACGGCCGATTTGCCATATTTTCTGATCGGCACAAACAGGTGTCGATAAACGCCGATCGATTCCAATCGGACATGGCCATTCAAAACTTAAATTCAACCATAAATCAGCCTAAAACTGGCCTCAATTCAGCAACAATTTAGATGCCGATAGACGCTAATCGACATGGCCATTCAGCCTAAAATTGACCTTAATTCAGCATTATTCGGCATTAATTTGAAACTTAAATAACATAAATCAGCTTAAAATTGACCTCAATTCAGCATCATTCAGCATCAAT